TGTCGTTTACAGACAGTTCACATGCTGCAAGTATGATGAACACACGGCTCAGTTCGGTGTAGTAACAGACAGTACAGGTCACAGTATGGTGAAAAACACAGCTCGCGCTAATAGCGCAAAACTGCAAGTAAAACCCATTCACCCAAGGGGTGGCTAGTCACTACCATAGCCGCGAGGACACAACAGGCAGACACATATTTATATTATTCCTCTTTGTTGTTTTTTCTCTATTAATTAACTGTGTATAATATTAATTCCCACATTTACACCCAAAGCAGACTGAATCCTAAATATCATCCGCAAAACTGTCGATGAAAGTCAATGTGGACTAGACTAGACTACCACTTGCCTTAGTCAAGTTACGTTTTGGCGACCAGGCGAGCCGCCACTTCCTTCAATAATGCTAGAAGGAGTACGACTGTACATTTAGTATGTGGAACCAGTCGCAAGCACTCGTGCAAGTTAAAGCGAGATAGTACGTCAGCAATTATATTCTGTTTACCAGGGACATGTGCCGCAGATATGCGAAAAATCGTATTTTGGCGCCACTAAAATTAGAGAGAATGAATTTCTGCCGGGTTGGGTTTGGATGAGCGAAGCAGATTTTTAAGGCGTTACAGAAATGTGCGGCCAAGTGCCACAACCACACAGGCATGGCTCAGTTTACCCACAAAGGATTCTAATTCCGCCTTACGTGTGTAACGCTTCTTGCTCTTCCACCCTACTATCGTGATTCGCAGTTCGAGTAATTTACCATCAGGCAAACGTGCCGTCATGGTGATCGAGTTCAGGTCGCTGCCGAGAAAAATAATTATCATTCTGATGGCATCTGGAACAGTACTGTACACGACTAGAAATTCGTTTTTCAAGATACCAACATTAACGCTATGATCAGTTAGAAATGATACGTCTAAAAATTAGCCGCCATGTATAATTTGGTTTGTTTTTCTTCGGAATTACTCCAAAGGCAAAGCGAATGCTGTATAATTTGGAGAGGGAGGGTGGTCAAAAGGCCCAATCCCCACCGCGCATGAATTTCTTCACCCAGATACTTATCAATAACATGTGGATGCATGAGCATCCGCTCAGGAACAGTTCGACTGTGTGGATATTAGAGGAATTCATCTCTATAAAAAAAACTCCGTGCGAAAAACACCCTCTTTGAAACCATTAAGGCTGTAATTAACTTTTATACGATCAGGATGTGCTATCACTTGTGTGTGCAAATGTCAACGTTAATAGGGGTTAGGGTAAAACGCTGATACGGACGGACGGACGGACGGACGGACAGACAGACGGACGGACGGGCGGATGACCTATTTTTCTCTAAAATATGTTTTAAGCATCATATCCGCGTTTTACCTGATCGGGTAAAACGCGGATATGGTGCAAAATATACTTTTCGGCTCTTTGAAAGGCATATCCGCGTTTTACCCGTTCGGGTAAAACGCGGATATGGTGTAAAATATACTTATCGGCTCTTTCAAAGGCATATCCGCGGTTTACCCGATCGGGTAAAACGCGGATATGCCTTTCAAAGAGCCAAAAAGCATATTTTACACCATATCCGCGTTTTACCCGATCGGGTAAAACGCGGATATGCCTTTCAAAGAGCCGAAAAGCATATTTTACACCATATCCGCGTTTTACCCGATCGGGTAAAACGCGGATATGCCTTTCAAAGAGCCGAAAAGCATATTTTACACCATATCCGCGTTTTACCCGATCGGGTAAAACGCGGATATGATGTTTAAAACATATTTTAGAGAAAAATAGGTCATCCGTCCGTCCGTCCGTCCGTCCGTATCAGCGTTTTACCCTAACCCACGTTAATAGGAAAGTTATCTGATACCGCTGTAACTAAGCATTCTGTCGAACCAGACCGCCCGAAAACGGCCGCCTGCGGAGTTTCACCTAACTCACCTGACGACCGGGCACGTTTTGAAAAAAACAACGGGATCTGCACACTGAGTTGGGTTAGGATAAAACGCGGATACGGACGGACGGATGGATGGCGGACGGACGGACGGACGGACGGACGGACGGACGGACGGATGAGTGGCGGACGGACGGACGGACGGACGGATGGCTTCCAAAAAATGTTTTTCAGCCTTTTTTGAGTCATATCCGCGTTTTATCCAAAAGGATAAAACGCGGATATGGTCCAAAAAACGTTTTTCAGCCCTTTTTAAGTCATATCCGCGTTTTATCCAAAAGGATAAAACGCGGATATGGGCCAAAAAAGTTTTTCAGCCCTTTTTAAGTCATATCCGCGTTTTATCCAAAAGGATAAAATGCGGATATGGTCCAAAAAACGTTTTTCAGACCTTTTTAAGTCATATCCGCGTTTTATCCAAAAGGATAAAACGCGGATATGGTTCAGAAAACGTTTTCAGCCTTTTTAAGTCATATCCGCGTTTTATCCAAAAGGATAAAACGCGGATATGGTCAAAAGAACGTTCTATAAGGGCATATCTATACGTATAAAGAATATTGAATATTGTCCTAGAATTTGAACAAATAAAAACCAATGTCTCTTCTCTTAATTATTTACTGCGAGATAAGAGTTCTAAAATTACAATTTAGTGTTAATAAAGTTTTAATTTAGTGTCAGTTATCTGGTATGTAGTACTCCAATTTTATGACAACGTAATGTGCTGTTTTTCAAATGCTTTGATGTCAATGCAGTTATCGGTTTAAATATACCTACAATTCGTTAAGTAACAGTTAGGCCAAATAAAAAAAAATACTTGGTTAGCGTCACCGCCCGCCTCTCGATTTTCTGCCGCCTCTGAATTTTTTTTTATTTTTTTTTATTTTTTTTTATGTAAATCTCTTCGTTTTACAGCTTAAAACAGTTTAATATTTGAAATTTTTCTCATGCTCAGACCTTTGCGCTATATACTGATCGATAGGAGCGCGTAGGCTTGGGTATACAAGTTCTTAAAGCAAAATGGCGGCCTTCGCAACATCAGTACAAAAAATATCACCGATATGGTGGAAAAACCGCCCCCATCCCCTCCAAAAATACTATTAAAAAATTAAAAAACGAGTAAAAATTTAAAAAAAAATCCGCCCGCCCGCCTCTGAAAATTTGTGAGAGTGTGACGCTAACCAAGTAATTTTTTTTATTTGGCCTTAAGATATGACAATTGCCGTACGGCCTACTTTTACGCGAACGCAAATTACAACTGCAACTTTCATACTTAATTTTCTCTGTTATCTGGGCATGTAGTAATGTAATTTTATGCCAATGCCAATGTAAGGTTCTATTTTTCAAGGGCTTTTCAATGCAGTTATCGGTTTAAATATACCTAAAATTCTCGTTAGGATATGACAATTGCCGTACGGCCTACTTTTACGCGAACGCAAATTACAACTGCAACTTTCATGCTTAATTTTCTCTGTTATCTGGGCATTTAGTAATGTAAGTTTATGCCAATGCAATGTGCTATTTTTCAAGGGCTTTTCAATGCAGTTATCGGTTTAAATATACCTCAAATTCCCGTTAAGATATCACAATTGCCGTACGGCCTATTTTTACGCGAACGCAAATTAGAACTGCACTGACTTTCATGCTTAATTTTCTCTGTTATCTGGGCATGTAGTAATGTAATTTTATGCCAATGTAAGGTGCTATTTTCCAGGGCTTTTCAATGCAGTTATTGCGGTTGAAATATACCTCAAATTCCCGTTAAGATATGCTGATATGACAATTGCCGTACGGCCTACTTTTACGCAAACGCGAATTACAATTGCCACTTTCATGATTAATTTTCTGTTATCCGGTCGTGTACTTTATGCCACTTTGGCAACACGGCCGGATAACAGAGAAAATTAACTCTCTTTCGTTTGGCGCCGAAATATAAACCAGGTTGAAACCGACCTTGTATTTTGCAGGTTCTTATATTTAAACCGATAACTGCATTGAAAAGCCCTTGAAAAAACAGCACATTACATTGCATAATATTAGATTACTACATGCCCAGATAACAGAGAAAATTAAGCATGAAAGTTGCAATTGTAGCTAATTTGCGTTTGCGTAAAAGTAGGTCGTACGGCAATTGTCATATCTTAACGAAAATTGTAGGTATATTTAAACCGATAACTGCATTGAAAAGCCCTTGAAAAATAGCACCTTACATTGGCATAAAATTACATTACTACATGCCCAGATAACAGAGAAAATTAAGCATGAAAGTTGCAGTTGTAATTTGCGTTCGCGTAAAAGTAGGCCGTACGGCAATTGTCGTATCTTAACTGTTACTTAACGAATTGTAGGTATATTTAAATATTTTAAACCGATAACTGCATTGACATCAAAGCATTTGAAAAACAGCACATTACGTTGTCATAAAATTGGAGTACTACATACCAGATAACTGACACTAAATTAAAACTTTATTAACACTAAATTGTAATTTTAGAACTCTTATCTCGCAGTAAGTAATTAAGCGAAGAGACATTGGTTTTTATTTGTTCAAATTCTAGGACAATATTCAATATTCTTTATACATATAGATATGCCCTTATAGAACGTTCTTTTGACCATATCCGCGTTTTATCCTTTTGGATAAAACGCGGATATGACCTAAAAAGGCTGAAAACGTTTTCTGAACCATATCCGCGTTTTATCCTTTTGGATAAAACGCGGATATGACTTAAAAAGGGCTGAAAAACGTTTTCTGGACGATATCCGCGTTTTATCCTTTTGGATAAAACGCGGATATGACTTAAAAAGAGCTGAAAAACTTTTTTTGGACCATATCCGCGTTTTATCCTTTTGGATAAAACGCGGATATGACTTAAAAAGGGCTGAAAAACGTTTTCTGGACAATATCCGCGGGTTTTATCCTTTTGGATAAAACGCGGATATGACTTAAAAAGGGCTGAAAAACGTTTTTTGGACCATATCCGCGTTTTATCCTTTTGGATAAAACGCGGATATGACTTAAAAGGGCTGAAAAACGTTTTCTGGACAATATCCGCGTTTTATCCTTTTGGATAAAACGCGGATATGACTTAAAAAGGTCTGAAAAACGTTTTTTGAACCATATCCGCGTTTTATCCTTTTGGATAAAACGCGGATATGACTTAAAAAGGGCTGAAAAACGTTTTCTGGTTTATCCTTTTGGATAAAACGCGGATATGACTTAAAAAAGGCTGGAAAACGTTTTTTGGACCATATCCGCGTTTTATCCTTTTGGATAAAACGCGGATATGACTGAAAAAGGGCTGAAAAACGTTTTTTGGACCATATCCGCGTTTTATCCTTTTGGATAAAACGCGGATATGACTTAAAAAAGGCTGGAAAACGTTTTTTGGACCATATCCGCGTTTTATCCTTTTGGATAAAACACGGATATGACTTAAAAAAGGCTGAAAAACGTTTTTTGGACCATATCCGCGTTTTATCCTTTTGGATAAAACGCGGATATGACTGAAAAAGGGCTGAAAAACGTTTTTTGGACCATATCCGCGTTTTATCCTTTTGGATAAAACGCGGATATGACTTAAAAAGGGCTGAAAAACGTTTTCTGGACCATATCCGCGTTTTATCCTTTTGGATAAAACGCGGATATGACTCAAAAAAGGCTGAAAAACATTTTTTGGAAGCCATCCGTCCGTCCGTCCGTCCGTCCGCCACTCATCCGTCCGTCCGTATCCGCGTTTTATCCTAACCCCACTGAGTTTGCAACTTCAGGAAGTCAGCAAGGCTAATCGCATTATTAATTGCCGCAATAAGATGTCATCAATCCAGGTTCAGTGGCTTAAACGCAGTGTGAAACCAAGACAAGAAAATAAGTTAATTTTCTGTTATACATGCATTCATGTAAAAATGTACCATATTGGCAATATATCAGGATGAAAATTTACACTGTTGACGTTGACTGTTAGGGCCAGGCTATAGCGGAGAAACATATTTATACTAATTATATGAAACCACAAAGACTTGTGCTCCGTTCTGCGTAACTATTGTATGTGACATCTCATATGCCTGCCGCCAAGGCATTTACGAAAGTGTCTCGAAACCTATATTTGCCGTCTCAGTATAACAAGTCCGGCTTCAATCACAACTAGGTCAGCAACTCGCATGCAGTTCTTCACCACACCCCCCTCGTGCATGTTGTGCTGACAAGAAAATATAGATGTAGGACTGCTTATTATTATATACATGAAACGTACGATATATAGTACCATATATCTATGGCTATAAATAATCCACAAACTGGCTTATACGCCTTTTCCTTGGGCCCTAGTGCGCACATGAATCTGGCACAACGTTTAACCAGTTTACTGGAATTGGAGATCTGCCAGGGAAAAAGACAAAGCGTTTTCGGGCCTCGAATTAGAAACAAACACAGATGAACACAAGTGTCTAGCAAGTTCGTGATTTTCCCCATTCATATTTCATTGCATCGAGTTTACGCGAGGTTTACAGACGGAACGGCGTGAGCTTCTACGCTAATTATTTCATTATAGTTGCCACAAAACAATGGAGCATTCAGTCTGTAGCTGATAGACCGTCCGCGTTGTAGCCAGAGACGTGTTCGCAAGATTCCCCAGTTCTTCCAAACAGGCGCTCTGGTCGATCGGTGCGCTTGACTGGCGCAAAACGTGAGTAATTGCCGCTTGAAGGCCCGTTGCAAACTCCGGTGATTGGAAAGCAGTAGAATTCTGACCAGACGCCATAGCCAATTCGTACAGGCAACTACTCAAAACGCGCAACACGAACACAAAATTA